CAGCAGTTTGAAACCACCAGCTACTCCGCAGCAGAAAGATGGGACTCTGCTCCTGTAGAGAGTTACAGTCTCAGCGACCCACAAGGACAGTTTCTACCCTGTTGCACAGGGTCCCTGTGAGTCAGTATCGACCGGGGAGTGGTGAGTCTTTGGCTTATGACAGCTTTTTAGACTTTGGCATTGTGGACACCGGCTCATCAATTTGCACGGCTCATAGGGCTGCTGGGAAGATAACAGATGTCTTTGTTATGAGGATTGGATAACACCCACGTGTCTGGCGCTAACAAACAGAAGTTTATTCTCTCGCAGTTTAGGGGGCTACAGGTCCAGACAAACCCCAGGCACGAGGAGAGAGCTTCTTTTCTCCTCTCAGCAGTGGTGGGCCATCTTCTCAAAGATCTCTGAGCATTAATCTTCCCCTGGGTCTAGCAGGTTCCCAGCACTTGGACCCTGGTTCCAACAGATGCTGTCCACAAGCAGCTCTTCTTTCTTACGGGTAGTAGGTGCCTCTGACCTCTGCTCATTGTTCAACCTCTTTTTATCTCAGAAGAGATTGATTCCAGATACCACTAGTCATAGATTGCATCTCGCCACAGTAGCATAACTGCCTCTCATCCTGCTTTATTAACATCACAGTGATTCGGATTTGCATCACAAAGGATAATTACACCAGATCACAAAATGAAAAATAGTTACTTCACTCTGAGAACCAGGGCCACGTTGACACATATTTGGAGGGACACATTCAATCTGTGATAACTGGTAACAAATACTCCATGGAAACCTATCACCAGCTTCCTGTACAGAGCCCTGGTGGCATAGTGGCTACTTGTTGGGCTACTAGCTGCATGGTCAGCAGTTCAAAACCACTATGCACTCCACAGGAGAAAGACAAGGCTGTTCTATAGCTTCACAACGAGTCGAAAATCACCCAATGGCAGTGAGTTTTCAGTTTACCAGCTTCCTGCAGCATGCAGAAAGCACTCAACCAAGCGCTCATTGTTGCTGCTGTTATTAAACGGGAATTTTAAGGGGAAAGTGAGCATTCCCACTTTTCCATTGCCCATGTGTATGTTTTTACTTACCTGTGTAAATGTTTCTTTCATGAGGACATGTGGCTTTAATAACGGAAAGCTGGTAACTGAGAGGAAGTATGTCAGGTGTGGTAATGGCTTTCCTGAATCACTAGGCTCACCTAACCCTGCGTTGCAGCAGCAGATCACTAGGGACAGAGCCCCCCATCTTGAGAGACGTGCCTGCAGCTCCACCCTGTGGGCAGAGAGAGAATACCCCCGGGGCCCCAGACGGGCCTCTGACCCAGATTTCAAGACACTCGCTGTTCCTTGGGCTGCAGCCCAGGAAGAAGGGTTGGCATTTTCAGTCCAGACCCACAGGCTGGTGCCAAGCAGCTTTTCCAAGCGAGAACCCCGCTGCCCACAGATTAGCTGTGGGTCTCCAACAACCACACTGGATGTGACTGATGAGTCCCCAGAGACCGGAGTGGCCTGAAGAGGAGCACC